TAGACTGGTCAGTTATCTGCTGTGACATTGGGAGAGTGTTGCTACTTGTGGTATGTATTGACATCGATAACAGTTTTTAATAAATAGACTAGCACGCTACTCAGTGTCCCTATATGCGAATATTCTTGAAAACTGTTAGGTAAGTCATATTATATCAATAAGTGGTGTTACTGTGCAATAACTTTACCAAATATAGATGGAAGGTAAAAAAATTTTAAAAAGTAAAAAAATAAAACGAAAGGTAAAAAACTTCAAAAACATATTTGAGAAATACTCTGCATGAGCAGCATATTTACATCTACTTTGTTTTTTTCCTTTCTAATTTTTACCTCAATATCCTTTTCTACGTACATTGATGTTCAACTTCCTCTAGATGTATCCTCCCAAGGGGAGCTTTCAATCTCTCCAAAGTGCCTACTCCTAGTGGCTCATGAACCTAGCTCTGTCAATACTGAACCGGGTCCTCATATCCGAGGAAGCACATTGAGAGCATACTCTGTTGGTGAAAAGGAAGTTGATCTTCTACTGCCTGGCACTGCAAGGTAACTGAAGTATTGATTTTATGAAAGTTATAATTTCCGGTTCAGTAACATATTTTAAAGTCTTTTATATGGTTACCTGACATGAAATCACTCTCATTCTCTGATAAACATCACCCGGGTGTTTTCTGGTGTCCTCTAGTGACATACAGAACAAAATCAACTCTGTTGTATGCTTTTAGTTTGTTATGGTAGGTGGAACAACAGTAGGATGAGTTTGGTTCCTATTTTAATATTACAGAATAATGATGAGAAGAGAATACAAAGGAGCAAAACATCTGAATATATTAATAAACTTAATGCAGTTATGCATCAAATGTATATTATACTAGATTATACATATAAAACAGTTAAGATGTGAGAATAAAGTGGGAATAGAATAGAACTTGACCCAAACACGATGCTACAGTGATGTACCTCTGCTAGTTTATTTTCAATATCATAGTTTATAATATTCAGTACATTGGACTTGAAATTTTGCCAACCACATTCACTTTTATCAGGTTACGGGTGCAATTAGGTGTGAACATGCCAGCTCAGGCTAATCACAAGCTTCTACAGGATGAGAATGGTTCAACGGAGCTTGAACTTTTTGAGGTTTACGATGTTGTTCTGTTTATGGGAATAATTGATATTCTACAGGAATACAATATGAGAAAAAGAATTGAGCATACTTGCAAATCATTGCAGTATGACCCGATGTCAGTATCAGCTGTTGAACCGAAGCTGTATGCTAATCGTTTCATGAATTTCTTGCAAAAGGTTTTCCCCGAGCTGCCATGAAATACCGGTTTCTTTACCGTTGTTCCTAGGGGCAGGCTTTTTACTTGCTGCTTTTTTTTATTTTTGTTGTCTTGCACACCTACAGGAAATTCTTTAAGGGTCATCGGGTGTAAATTGTT